GATGCCTGGCTATGTCCCATCTGGGATTTATATTCACTACCTGATGATTGTGAGTTGATCGCTTCAACTACAGTCCATCCAGCTGCAGTGTGTACATTTGTGTTTGTCCACTGCTGCATCGTGACCTCTGCACACTGTGCGGGCTGTGGGGGTTCTTTGGGAACACTTCACCACGCTGCCCATTGCGAGCTGACGAACGCGGGTAGCACAGATGTGTCAGCATAGTAGTACAGGACAACAATGGATTTCTCCGCAATGGCATCTGCTCTCTTCCTCAGCGGTCACTCAACTGAATGCCAGCCTATATACGCGTGTCCTCACGTTAACTGATGAGCGAGCATTACTGTGAAAAGTAACACAATATCTCAAAAGTGTACTTTTTTCCCTTCTTCTTAATAATGTACCATAAAAACCACTGACATTTCCAAAAACTGCATATCCTTTCCGTAAATTGATCCCGTGTCAATCAAAGACAATTTTTGGCATATGATTAATTTTAATTGCGAGTTAAAAAAAAAATAACTCAAGGTCATATTCGTGTGCGCCGTTAGTTAATCTAGAGCCAAGCTTCACTTTCCATATCTGGCATACAATCTGGATAAAGCACGTACATTCCTCACTTCCTCCCAATATTAATATTCCAAAATGTATGAAACAATGAAAATGCATCGCGACAACTTCCGACGTATTCGTGAATTGCGAAAGGAATTTTAAGATAATACGTAGATTGATTTTTTTTCTATCATGGTTTTCTTGCATAATTTCCATCGCAAACTCAAGGGCAGACACACACTACGAGTGAATGACTATTTTTTTTATATATATAATGACAGTAAGCACACCTATAGCGCGTGTGAAGGGGCATTGAGAACCATGCATCTGGCCAACTCGACACCAAATTTTGTCCAAATTACTACATTATTTATCGTTATTATTTATTGTGTACATAAGACAACCTCACACCAGACCCTTAACATCCAAGCTACTTTGATTTGTATTTTTTCCAAAGCAAAACACAATGAAGGTTACGTGTCGAGAATGCTTTGCTAACCCAGTTATTGGAGAATTAACCTTTACATGTGCAGCCTGTTTTTTCGCCCTCAATCTACTGCTGGATTAGGAGCCCTCCAAAGACCGTGTGTGAGTCACAGGGGATATTTGACCATATTTCACCAGGGTGGTCAATGCACGCTTGCGAAGTTGGAGCGGTGTGCTCAGAACAGCAATGGATTTTGCTGCACCCACCTCTACTGCCCGCAGTGCCTACTGCACCTTCTGCTACGCACGACTGTCACACACACGAAGCACTGTCTAGGCTCAACAACTGCTTGGCTTCAGAGATCTGTCGAGACTGCGCGACAATTTGGTAACAAGAGCATCAACCTACGGTTAAAATAAACATCTGGCTTTTTTGTTTTGCAATGGGAAGTCAATGACTTTTGAATGGTAGATGCATGAAAAGAACAGCATATAAAGCATATTGTTTCCCTGCACGTGTGTGTTTATTCTCTAGGCACTGCGCAGAGCAGTAGTGTTGCGGTTAGCACGCTGAACTACGAACCCGCTGACCCGAGTTCGATTCCAGCTCTCGGGCAACACCAGTGACGATTATAAGGACCGATCCTGGGCCTCCACTAGGTTGACTCAACCTCAAATGAGTGCTTGGTGCGATGTATGAACATCCCAACTAGGGAGACAAGGGCGGCCAGGCGTGATGCTGGCCACCCACCCCCTTCGTGTGCGACGCCAGCCTTCATAGATGCCTGCTTATAGCACTTGCCCTGATAATCTGTTAAGCATCTGTGCTGAACTTCTTTCACACTGTACGTATGCACCATACGTAAGTGGGGCTTCTTTGTATTTGTATTGGAACTGTAATTTCCTCCCACCTAGAAGCGTGCGGACAAAGTAAATTGGTCCATTGTCACAAGCAAAACTCTCCTAAAACAAATGTCATTGTGCTCAATGAGGCCTTCTTGGGTGAAGAATTAAAGTGCACGTGGGCCTCCATTATACCGAAATCCAGGACATCGACCTCATGAATCCATAAATAAGACTCTGCACATTTCTACACCAACCACTTCAAACCAGGTTGGTGCTCAATGCAGGCTAGCCACATGCTGAGCTAATAGTAAACCAAACTATTAGACAATGTTTTTATTTTAACAGGTAAGGCCCACTGAGCTATATAGCTCTTTTTGAGAAGCTCTGTATAGCTATTTTCGTTGAGAACATGCAAACTCCAAATATACAGCAGGCATCATCAGGGTTGGAATATAACCCACAAGCTCCTGCATGCCAGGCGAGTGAGATAGCATCTTGCCACCGCGGTGCTCCAAGATGAATCTAGCAACGTGACACGGACCCTGTGCTGGAGAGGTGGTCAATAACATTGTGCTGAACCGAAGGCAACCAGGCTTGATAGAAAATTAATGCTGACGTCAACAAAACGTGAAAGCGGCACAACAATTTTTTTACTCGAAAAGAACGCATTGTCAAGATGTTAATGGTTTGGAAGGGTTTGTCGAGGAGGTGTCTGTGTTTTCACAAAATGTGGCGCCAATTTCTTACTAGTGAGAAGATCTGTTTCCACTGTTGGATGGTTGTGGAGGAACTGATAATGGCGGAGAAAGATAAATGTTAACGAAAACCGATTATATGGAGCGATGAAATCAGTTTGTGTGGAGGCCCTAGATGGATTGTTACATTACGGGATCATGGGAGGTCATGGCGGATTGCAGAGTCCTTCATCCAGCAGCGGATTGACCACAGCTGATGATATATCTATGTATGTTGAATTTCTTTTGCACCGTACCTAGCCAACCATGCTAATCGGAGGTGCGGGGGAAGGACAACAAATTTAATACAAAAAGCAGTTTATTTTGTGGTCTTTCCTCCGTACCTCGAATTAGCACGATAAAGTTTCAAGAGATTATGATGATAATGATACTAATGCCATAATTGTGCGTGGGTATATGAATATGGATGGTGCATCTACTGGCCAAACAAAATCCACAACACCAAACCGTTCAAGAAGACCGGTTGTCCTAATATCACACGCAAGGCATCGAGAGACGGCGGCTCGGATGGCTTGGACATGTACTCAGAATGGACCAGGACCATATACCAAAAATTGCTCTAAAATGGACACCACCGGGAAAAAAGAACCCTGGGAGACTTGAGACCACCTGGCGCAAGACCGTGAAGGATGAGCTGGCAGCAACGATCAACCTCTCTCGGGGCGGGTCTCAACATGTTGCCAAGGACAGGAAGAAGCGGAGGGAACTCATTTCGGCCTCGTGTCCCAAAGGGGGATTAGGAGGATTAACGAACTAACTAACGAAACACGACTTGCTGTAATTAACAACAAAAAGACAACTTTTTTTCCAGCGGTCTCAAGTTTGCAGCTTCCAGAGGATTGGATTGCGTGGAGGAGCTGTCGCTCTCTCCGCGACTCACTTGCAAACGCGAACGCCACCACCACCGCCGCGGCGTAAACCGCGGGCCCAGACAGAGCGGCCCCTACAATCCCCAATTGCATTGCGTTGCAGTCAAAAAGTCCGCATGTGGAAACGACGGGGCCTGGGAAATTGTTTGCACGATGAGGCCTGAAGGGATCGTGGCAAGAGAAGGACACCGATACCTGTGGGAGGCGCCGAGCACAATTACAGAAGCGCAAAGCAGAGCTTCGACGTTCTCCCCCGCAGGCAGGCTGCTGTGCGCACTGCCGACATGAAACGGAATGTGTGATGCCTTCATATCTCTTTCCGCACGTTAACACGGAATGGCAGGGGATCCCCACCCCTCCCCCCCCCCCCCATTTTTGTCTTTTGTAGATACCCCAAAAAATTACATCCCTAAGACAACTCTAGCCCTTAACAACAGTCATCATATCCAGACGACTTTGTCTGAATGTTTATTCCAATAAGCCAGCGAGGGCAATCGTATTAGATTTGCTCTTAAGAATAAAAGTTATTTTTTCTACCCCCCACCTCCTTGCCTGCCTGCAATGGAAAATTCTCGTACGGGATATAAGGGCAAGAGCAGGGGGGGAGGGATGTCAATGTTCTCTGCCGCATGACAAAACAGTTCAATAGTTTTGCCAGTAGTGTGCAGAAGACTGATCTGGAAAGATGAAAGGAATAACCCCAAAAAAAAGGCATCAGAAAGTTTGGAGGGCCAGCAATATGCCTTTGAACCACGTTTGCGATACATAATTACGTGGATGTTTTAAAAATGCATTGTCTCAAATATATATATTTTCTCTGGACACTGTGTACACTGTTCCTGTTTGCTGTTGGATTACACAAACGCTGAAAGAGCGCACATTTAAATGTGCTCGCAATTCCACAAGCGTGCATTCCCGTACGTGTGCAATAACACTGCGTGCACGAAGGGACCTGCTCTAATTTCATTTGTGCATAAAAAAACGATAAGTAAATCATGCAGGAGCCATACAACTGCAAGGCTGAGGGTCTTTCCTTCATGGAAGAATTCATTCTTCCACACTGGTCAGACATATTTACATCGTAACTTGGCTCTTTAATGCTATTAACTCTATATTTAATAATAATAATAATTCACACCCATGTCACACCACCGTTAGAAGTGCTTGGCTTAGAACAAACGTGAGGTCACGTGAAGTTTAGCTTCGTTAATTGTGTTCAACCAGGTGAGAACTTAAGAGAAAAAGATTGTCTCATTTTTAAGAGTGGCCTGGGTCACCAGAATGACAAAAATTAATCCACCAAAGTACAGTAAGAAAAACTAAAATAAGTGTCGAAGGCTCGCTGTCCGGAGGCCACGACATTGGCCGCATGTGCCGTGTCAAACGTTTGAGACGACCGGCAGAGAAGTACTGGCACACAGTACATAGCACCCACACCCACACGTCAATTAAACACGCAACGAACGTGAAGCGTCATTGCCGATTTGCCAACGTGCCGCCGCCGGGTGGCTGGCTGCCGCAGAGTCGCTATCGGTAACAGGAGGGCCCATACCTCGATGCCCTGCACCTTGAGTTTCATGTGGTCTTCCCGCGTCGTCTTGCCGTCTTTCCGTTTTTTCCAGCAGTAGCCGTCTTTCCGATACTTCACCTTCTTTCTGTTGTACAAAAGCATGGAGCCATTTTGGGGCCTAGCAGAAAGAAGACAAAGAACACAACGTGGACAAGGAAAGGGGGAGAGGGAGACAACGAAACCAACGTAAACATTTTAAAACATCCGCTCGCATTTTCACACGTTACATTTCCTTTTCCATAAAACGGACGGCGTGCAAGCGGAACAAAAAGGGGAGTTTCATTATTCAGCCAACAAAGCCCCCTTCAGTGAAAGCTACGCAAAGCACTTTTTTGTTGTTGTCGTAATGCTCAAAAATAATTCATCTGCACCGCCGGTGAGAATGTTGACAGATTGACACAAGTCGTGCTGCATGTATATATATGATCCATGCTTCAGATCAGTTTCGACAACAGTAACAACAGAATACAAACGCAAGTCACGCTCTTTGCAATTTGCAACGGTTTCTACAGCCCGCCGAGTTGCACGGCAATATACGCCGTGCGCTTTCAAGCCTTGCCGTTTGGCGGTTTGGCCCAAACATATTTCACAGATTACACTCTTTTAAATCCAACTCAAACCAATGCCTGCGCGTTCAAATACGCAAATGAGTCCACCGCCCATCTTCAATTAATATTTAGTGATTGCACGTGGAGAAAGGCAAATAAGATAAGGTTCAAATGACCAGTACCCTTACTATTTCCATTGCCGAAACATTGGTAGTAAAATCCAAACTGCTATGGTTTAGGGCCAGCTATCTCCACATGACAACATCTATATTCGTGGTTCTTTCTGTAAAGTCACCACGTACAAGGGAAACAATAAAATAATCAAAATATAAAACAATAAAATTGTCACGACGTTTCGACTGCAACACAAGCAATCATCATCAGGCGTGAAAACCACAACAAGAAAATTTGAAAAAAAGTGGCGGTTTTTTAACGTTAGCACCACGGAGAGCGATTTGACAGTTTGTTCAGATGGACGAGTCCATCTATGTTCGGAAAAGAGGAGGGGGGAGACGAAAAATGATGGATGCGGTCTGAAAGCCACCGTAAACGTGAACAATCAATTAAGACCCGAAATGGTTAATCAAATCCTTCCAATGATTTCTAAGCCAGAATCCATCTTCTCGGTTGAAATTCTCTGTGTTTGTATATGTGGATAGCCTCATGAACGAATCTCTCATGGTCGCCAGATGGCTTGCAAATAACCGCCACTTTTTTCAATTTTTTTTGTTGTGGTTTTCACACCTGATGATGATTGCTTGTGTTGCAGTCGAAACGTCGTGAGAATTTTATATTTTGATTTAAAGCTTTCGTGACTGCAGTAATTCATATTCTTAGCTCTTTAGGTAAAGTCACGTTGTTATTTTATTGTTTCCCTTCAACGTGACTTTACCAAAAGAGCTAAGAAAAATGAGAATTTTATTGTTTTATATTTTGATTATTTTATTGTTTCCCTTCTACATGACTTTACCGAAAGAACAAGAATATGAATCCCTGCAGTGACGAAAGCTTTAAATCAAAAGACATCTATGTTCAGTGTACGAGGGTATATGGCATTTGGAGCTTCTCTCAAGAGATGATGATTTTGTTGACAATTCCTAGACTACTTTTTTTTCATAGAGAAAGTGTAACGGCTTTTCCAGCCTCAGATTTTAATTTTCCAATATTACAATGATGGCCTGGGACTCCCGAGTCCACAGAGCTAACCCACCTGAATACAGCTCGCTAAGCTACATGAAGTTGTTGATGCTGTCCGTGAAGGCCACAATGTCTTTGAAACTAATGTTCAAAAAAGGGAGAATTAGATAGCTTCCGAGACTAGGTAAAATAGTTTCTGTTCGGTCATAAAATAAAACTCCAGAATGTTATTTATTTTAACGGGGTGGCATCCCCCTGAGATTTTGCAAGTAAGAAGCACAAACACACCGGGAAAAAAATATCACACACATATTGTTTAGTATAACATTATTCCCTGTTTAAACCAGATAACGTCGGGCGAAAATTCTGTTATAACTAGGGAAACTTTGGCTTAACCAAGTCTGATGAGCAGAATGTGGTCCGTTAAAGCAATGCCGCTGGGTGGCCGGCTGTTTAGGGCCCAAAGTCCATTCACGAACAAGTTGGGGGGCCCAACACTCGGGTTGCAAAATGTGGAGAAATTATTAAAACAAATAAGCAATGCCTCAGCAACATTATGAATACAAATCATCTTCACATCACGTATTCGATATTCCCCAGCCTTACCTGTGTACATAAATAATACATTGCATCATATACGTAAACTGATTGCCATATAAATATTTACTGATGGAAACGGAGCGACGATTTCACAGTTCATATGCAGGTTCTTGGGTTGATTGTTGCGTAGCAAAATCGTGATAGGTGGCTGTGGCTTTGGGGAAGCTTTTCTCCAGCAGTGGATAGATCACGGCTGATGATGATGATGATACGAATGTTCCGTGAGTTTTTCCAAATTGGTGTGTTCATTCTGTACACGGCTGTCATCAAACTGTAGTGGCTTTAAAAATATATATATAATAACTGCACCCATCAGAGCCTGGATGGCAGAGAGAGAGAGAGAGGGTCGCATGGATGGAGGGCGATGGGAGGAAGCATATCATGGAGCTGCAGCAAGAAGTACTGCTCTGTTGGGAGGGCACATTTTCCCATCGAACCAGCGGTGTTTTCTCAGAATATAACAGCTCATAGATCTTTGGGACAGCTTCACACAGATGCCAAGCTAAATCCGATGTACAACCCCCAAAGCACAGGTTGCAAGTAATGTCATTGTCACCCACACGCGTCCATTGTCCTTTACCCTCGTCTCTAGGAATCTACCACTCACGGAACGCCTCTTCGTCAAGGGTGCGTACTCGCGTGTCCGTAGAGTCTGTGACTTCCTTCAGACTTTTCACCGGGCAAATGTTGGGGTTGACGACAAGCAGCGCGAATTCCCGGTTAGGCGTACGGGCAAATGGCCTGGCGGAATTATCTTCGGACGTGTGGTTCTTCAGTCGGTGAGTGAAGTGCGGAGAGAGAGTTCAAATCGATCCTCCATGGGCTGAATTGAATGGAGAAGCCACCAGACTCAGGGAGAACTGAGCACATTTACTGTCACAGCTCAACGCGCAACGCATGTCGCCACCCAGCCGTTTGTGATGAACCTTTTTCCTCATCCCCTTAAAAAAAAAATGGACTGTTGAAATCGCTCGTATATATAAAGAAATTACGAAGTTTTCAGGGGCATAAATAAATAAAACTACATAAACTGCTTCGGGAGTTGGCCGTACATTGGAACCAGTAGGATTTGAGAATTTAAATTCATCTTGGGTTTTCTGATCTCAGGAAATTTGACAGAAATGCAACACCCTTCACGCGCTCCTATTTGCTCTGAACTTGCGGCTAGCCCTTAAAACAAAACGCAATTCAACAGCGGAACTCTACGCGGAATTTTAAGGCCACACACGGTTACGTCGTGCACACACGCATTCAAACAAGAGAGTTTCTTCTGGTCCAAACAAGAAAGGAGGATGTGCCTATCGCCGTTGAAGGTGCCGGGACAGAATTGAAATTCCACATTCCTGAGGCAGAACCAAGTCACATGCGCGAAGAGTCGACCGCTGTTGAGGTTCTACAGAGTTGTTGTTGTTCAAAGAGTCAAGACGACCCCAGGAGCAGAAATCTGAATTCACAACCTTCCCCGCTCTGTAGCTTGACCTTGTTTGTACAAAAAACTCCGAGGGGCCACAGCACAGTCGATGTTGAGCAAACGTTAAGCAAATGTTAAGCACTAAACAGAATGACTAATGATACGATCTGCTCTTGTCTGCCATATGCATTCTGCTCTCGCTCTCACCCCCATGTGTAAATGAGGAAAGGTCAAGACGAATGCTAAATGTCGTACCAACATTATCTGAATTGAATGAGAATTCGGACGGGGGTGGTGGGGTCTCAGCCTTCAACAAGAGGGGAGGGGGTGGGAAGACGCCACAAGGAATGCGAACCTCACCTTCTGTGATAGTGCAAAAGATAAAATTAAGAGCACCTACAAATATCTTCTTGGTTCTTTCGGTAAAGTCACGTAGAAGGGAAATAATAAAATAATAAAAATCAAACATAATATAAAATGAAATTATCACGGACGTTTCGGCCACAACACAAGCAGCCGTCTTCAGGTGAAGAAACAGAACTGTCGGGAAGACAACGTTCCAATGAACACTGCTAAGCTTGGGCAGCGTCGTGATAATTTAACTTTATAATGTTTTATTTTTATTATTTTATTTCCCTTCTACGTAACTTTAGCGAAAGAACCAAGAAGATGAATCCATGCAGTCACGAAAGCTTTAAATCAAAACACCTACAAATGTCTGATGCAATGGATAGTACAGCATAGGGGTTACTCTCTCCTCTCCCGCACAACTACATGTTTTGCACCTTCAACCCAGCGTGGCGAAGTACGGTCAAAACGCTCCCCACGACTCACACGGTGTGGTTAGGCCCCTCATCCAGCAGTGGAATGACAAAAGTTGGCTGTAGAGCATCCAACGGAAGAAAGAGGTTGAACGTTATCTGTTGCCGGGTGCAATGCATATTCTGGGGAACTTGAAACAACTGCTCTCTCCACAGCAGCACCAGTAGAAACTTTGAACCGTGCAGCCAAGGGACAAGGCAATGGAGGAACACTCACAGTCGCAAGGCAATGCATTCCACACGACACCCAGTGAGTGCTCTGTGAGATCGATTCAAGTCAAACGGCGGTGGTTTTAAGCTACGTCGTAATTGAGTCCAATTGAATGGTGCGTAACTACTTAACCCTTTCCCATTCCAATGACGTACGTCATTCTACACGTACGCATACGTCGGATGTATACTCCATCAGAACGGAATCGGAAGTAAAAAGGCCATGAGGGAGGGCATGCGGCTCAGCTTGGCGCCAGCTACCGTCAAGTGTGGTCGTGTTGCTACAGTTCTCTGCGGTGAGCGCAGTGTCTTTAAAAAACAGCGGCGCTATGCCTCCCTAAATATAATTAACGCTAACCGCTTGCACGTTCCTAGATCCAGCGGTGAACGG